TCTCTTTTTCCGCCTCTCTCTTTTTCCGCCTCTCCCTTTTTCCGCCTCTCTCTTTCTCTCTCTCTCTCTCTCTCTCTCTCTCCTTTTTCATGCTCTCTTCTTCCTCTCCTCCTCCTTCCTTCTCTTCCCAATCTCTTTCTCTCCTTTTTTCCCTTTGTAGTTTTGTCTTTTTCCTATCAATTGAAAAGCGTATTCACAACGCGTTTTTGTTCTTCCTCCTCAAGTCAATAATTTATAAAAAAAACCTTTCTGGAATTGTAAATATTTAAAATAAAGTGTGTATTCTCTGACACATATTTTATTTACTTTTCTCAATTTCTGGCTGCATGTTAGATCTCGTTCTCTTATTATAGAGTGTGTTACCGTGACAAAGAAGTTTGGATGTTTATTATAAGTTTCATGAGCGGGAATACTGACTTAGCTAGCGGTATTAGAGCTCAAAGACTAAAGTCTAGTGAATTTGCGTTGCTTCAAACAAACCCGGTCATGAGCAGGTAAGCTTCTATATATTCCGCCGCACACAACAGGATGTTTGATGTGAACGAAGATTCGGCAAGCTAAGCAAGAAAAATACTTTCGAAATCAACCCCAGGGCGGCGCAAACATGTATTTGGTAGTTTTGCATTAACTGATAACAGTCCAACGCTCAAGTCAACTTCATCACATTAACATGGTGAAATAGACAGAGAGGAAGATTCTTGGCTAACAATTGCCAATTCAGGGAATTCAGGACTTTAGTACACAGGTGGAGTTTCCCCCTGCCTGGCCTAAGCCCTCGGCCGGCCCGTACAGATCCGCGCTGCGTGCACGGCCACATCGGGCAGCTCCCAGGAAGGACAGGCGCTGCGTGTGATTTGTATGAAACCCCTGTCCTTCTCTATGGGAGTACATGGCCGTACGCCGCCCTATGCTCACCCGACCGGCACGTTTGTACGGATGCAGGTGTCCCTACTCGGACGCACCCGACCTGCACGTCTGTACGGATGCAGGTGTCCCTACTCAGACGCAGACAGGATCCATCCTGTCACCGTATGAGTACCGACACCCGCGTGGATGGCTGCGTACTCCCGTAGAGAAGGACAGGCTGCTGTGTATAATCACAGGCAACACCTGTCTTTCCTGAGAGCTGCCTAAAATGGCCATGCACGCTGCACGGATCTGTTTGGGCCGGCCGTTACCAATGTAAATGAGGGCTAAATGTCATCTTCAATACAGAAGGTTTGGGAGATCCGTAGCACTGTAATCAACTTCTTGTCTAAATAAGGGTATCGTGAACCTGGCATCAAAATGCCCCTTTAACTTACCAGAATCTATGGTCACATGACACGCCTGCTGCCAAGTGGGAGGATCCTTCACCGGGTGCCCACATCACTGCCTGGTTGGACACTTTCAATTGGATATACATGGGCAGGATCCTCATAGGCTCCAGAAGACTCCAACAGTGTTATGATGACGCAATATGTAGCGGCAACAAGTCTGGTCAACAACTGGCTCGGGCTGCATCTGTAGATCAGTCTCCATTCCTGGAAGAAGTGCCATGGAAAGTCAAGTGACTGCAGAGTTATACGAGTAAAGTTTTTTATTTTTTGTGGGCATGGGAGGCAGGAGGGGTCTAATTTTAAAGATCAGATTTCGGATGAACCCAAAGATGTGAAACAAAATTGCAAGGCCTTAATAGCCAACTATAAACCAATGTGTGCCTCTCACAGCGCATTGATCATTGATGGCCTCTAGCCCTGCATTGTATGTGACAACGTTGGCGTGGGACCAGACGTCCACCCCAAGTCTGTCAGGAAGGATCCTCTAGCAGCAAATAATAAGGTAAGGATTCCTCTGCATTACAAGCGCTGGATTAGAGAAGCAGCAATTCACATCCAAGGGGTCACCCAAATGGCAAGTTTTTACTGCTGACCACAGTTCAGCTTTAAGTTTGTTAATGGCGCCAGTGGTGGAACAATGTGGAATGGAAGGGGAATGAAAACTTTGTAAAATCATCACTGTTTTTGTTTTTCTAAAATAAAGTAAATCCTAATCTATGAGAGCTTTGTATAAATGTAGTTTTATCTTCGCCAGTCTTGTATAGTTTAGAAGAACCAAGACAATCTCTCATTCCAGTAGAGTCCCCGAATCTCCACTAGCAGAGAAGGACCACATGGTGCCTCAAGTGTGACATCCCGAGTGGTCTTCTCCTCCCGCCTATTAAACATTAGATGCAGACGGGAATAATTGCTAGGATATTGCGGCTCACCATTTGCCTCTCACATGATTACAGACCACCGAGAGATAATAACAGCTTTTTAATTTTCCATTTTGTAAGATCCCTCCAAGCCAAAGCAAATCTGTTAGTGATTGACTTCACTTTGTAGAAATATTGTGCAATAAATTAGTCTTGCAGCTTTCGATGGGGGGTGGGGAGTTGCTAGGAGATTAGCCCCCGTTACAACTCTGACCCCCTCAACACGGCTTTGTGCGTAGAAGTCTGGTAACCTCTAGTGATGGTCATCAGAAGCCTTCACACATGGTGGTATTTCCTGGGAATATGAGAGATCCCTCTGATGCTGATGCAGTAAAGGTAGTTGGGTGGCAATGTTACCAGTGGGGTCTTAGTCATAGGACACTTGGTGCTTGGTGACATGTCATCATTTTTAATTAATAGAAGCAGCCTGATAATTTATTACCAACCAACATCATCAGTCAGGTGGGAGGTGTGCGGCTTCTCTGGTGTTAACAAGTTTGCTTCTTCGTAACGTATCCATATACATTTTATTTTTAATTGCTCGTTTATGAGAAATGTCTGAACATAGACAACTGTTAACCATCCTCAGTGATGAGAAGTGGCTCCTGTATAATACTTCTTATTATGCTGTAAACAAACGTTTGCTTTATATTGCAAAAATTATTTGCCCAAAAAATATTTTGCACAAAACAAAAAGTTTTTTTAGCAATTAGGTGTTAAAATTTTTTTTTCTAATTTAGCACATTTTTCTCATTACAAATTAGAAAATTAAAATGTTATGAGCGGTTTTATTGACATGATGGTATTGTGTTTGTTATGATAATATTCTTTTATAGTTGTGCAATTAAAGGTTAGGTTCCTTGTAAAGGTTTGTTTTTGGGATTTTTAGTTTAATGTGGTTTAGGTTAATGACCGTTTTTAAGAGGAGATTAGACATATGGGTTGAGTTAAGGTTCAGAGGTCACCCCTGTGTCTGGAGCTCAGTCTAGGTTAGGAGTTGTGTTTTAGCGTTACACTGCGGGATACGTTTAGGTGTTCGGGTGAGTGTAACAACGGCTTAGTAATTTTAGACTTTAACATTTCCAATACTTCACTTTCCTTCATCATTTATATTTACGTCTTATCAGGTTAGTTCTCAGCGTCAAACCTGAAGTGACTAAAACTAACATTCCTGGAAAATAAATCATGAGGATGTCAACTTACATTTTTCTAAAGTAAGACAAATGCCACAAGTTTACCTTCTTGAAGACGTACACTTTTAAAGTGACACTAAACTCCGGAGTTAAAACAAAGTACTGTATATAAAACAACCAGCAAGTGACCTCACAAGTGAAGATTTAGTTTTTTGCATCTGCCTTTTTGCTGTTGGTCCGCAGTATTTTATTGTAGACCACAATGTAGAAACTGTTAAAGTGACACTAAACTCCGGAGTTAAATCCTAAAAATCCATCCAAGTCCCTGAACTCTGAACAACAATGTATCTTATTTGTGTATCACTCGGCTGTAGATCCTCCAATCATCTCTGAATTGATTTGTAAATCATCTCTAATTTACAAATTAGTAAACTAAACATGAGATTGTAGTCCATCTCAGGAGAGGGGGGGGAAGCCGAGTGATACAGAAATAAGATACATTGTTGTTCAGAGTTCAGGTTATTTTTACCTCCTCATGTATCACTGGCCCCTCCCCTTTTAGATTGTAAGCTCTCAGGGGCAGGGCCCTCCTTACCATCTTGTCTGGAATTGTATTGTGATTGTAATGTCTTCCTTATATTGTAAAGCGCTGCGCAAACTGTTGGCGCCATATAAATCCTGTATAATATAATTTTTAAGATTACATTTAAGTACCTCGTGTATCTAAATATCACAATCACCAGTGTTTCAAATTGGTACAGGGTTCCTTTATCGGGCCACCAAAACATTGATGACGACTCTTGATGACATGTACATGAATGTCTGTGATTTTATAGAATCTGTGCCGGTATCATTGCCCTCTGAGAGCTGAGGCCTGAGCACTTTTTCTATGTTAGAAGACAAAGTTCCTATTTGAAGTGAGGTGAAGATTTACAACTAGTTACATTTATCTTGGAATTTTACTGGAATCGGTCAGTTTTCAGCATCCAACTATCGCTCAGTGTAGTAGTATTGGGAAGAAAATAGCAGTATGATTATTTTCTGTATCTATGAGCAACACTTCCTTTATAATGTCTATAATAATATAATTATTATGTTTTTGCCTATAGTAACTGTTTACAATCTAGTTGTTTGTAAAATCCACGTGGCCATCAAGTTTCAGATGCTCTCCTTTTTTTTAAAGAACAGAATCTGCTCAATTGTCCGTACGCAACAGGTACACTTCAAAATTAAATCATGTCCCCGGTTGACGGCGGGGTCGCCTGGCCGCAGTAGTGCACAGTGCAGGTCCAGTTGGGCAGCCGAGTTTTCCTTTTGTGTGGCGTGAGGTTAATATTCTAGGGAGGCTGTTAAGCAAGTGTTTTTCCCTTTGAACGCTCTCGCCAACAACAGTTGCATTGCTAGCAGGCATACCTTTTTGAATCGTCTGGCCTTCGGTAGGACCACATCACCCCGCTGGTTTTGGACACAAATGAATCAAACCTTCCCTAGCAGATTGTATCAGATCGGCATCCATTAGGGGGCTCTCCAGGGTTGGGTACATCTTCAGATTTAAATTCTAAAGGTTTATTTTTCTTACACTTACTCTCCCCCCCCCCTTCTCACCTCCCTTTGTTTTTTTTGTTTTGCAGAAAAGGTCATGGATCGCCTACAGTGACGAAGTGCGGAATGAGCTACTAGGGGATGATGGGAATTCCTCGGAGAGCCAGGTAGGATGCTAATCATGCAGCCCTAGTGGGTGGCTATAGGGTACAGGAGGGTCTCACACACTGGGCAAGCCCATGCTGCTTCCTTAACAGCATTAGCAGCAACTCATGTGGAAGTGATGTTGTTTAATGCAAAGCCCCGGATTTTAATCAACTTCAAAAACCTTTATATGGAGATCTTACCATTAACCCTTCAGTCAGGAGGACAGGGATATCCCCATCTGTTCTTCCAGCTTGATGGGGCACTTGGAGGGCACAGTTCGAGAAGAAAGCTCTCTCCTCCATCCCATGTCTAAATATATATTTAAAAAAAAATATATATTGTAATACGCACAACTGCATCTTGATATTATAATTAAATCAACACATGCACCACCAATGAATAGGTACTTTAAGAGCAACAGGGGTTAGCCGAACATTGAAAGAACTATTTTAAGATTCTTTTTTTTCCCCTTTTTTTTTTTTCACAATGCTCTGCTGGAACTGCATTCTGTCATTAATCAAAGTCTAAAATGTTTACATGTACATGCTGTGTTGTATAGTGAAACCTCAACATACTGATGTAAAAAACATATAATTATAAAACTTTACTTTGTGTTGCCAACTCTCCTCCCTGTTAGTTGTCGGGTTCATTTGTTGATTTATTTGACTTTATTTTTGTTAATTTGCTCCTATTGACATGTTATTTATATGTAGTTGTTAAAAAGTTTCAGATAACATACGAAAAGGGTTTTTTTCCCATCCAATTAATATATGCAAGGTAGTCAAATTTAAATTAATCTGCAAAATGTTATACTAGATTTAGTTTTATTAACTGATATGTTTTATTATTTGCTATTATTGATTCAGAAACTGACAGCATTGTTTTCAGTGTGGTGCTGAGATTATATCATTAACCAAATATACATATACACAAGAAACCATAGGAATAGAAAAAGCTGAATTACAAGTAGTAATAATAATTATTATTACAGTTTATACTGACATTCATAACATTTTACATTATAAATATAATTATGCAAGTGCATTTTTTTACATTTATTTATACAGGTTTTCTCCATGATAGAAACAT